GGGAGCAACAGTGGAGATGGAGGGGAGAGGCAAGGGGAAGAGAGATTTGGGAAGCTGAAGCAGAACGTGGCAGCTCACTGATGCGAGGGAGCAGTGCAGGGAGAAGCCCGGGCTGTCTTCTCTGGCTTGCGTGAATGGCAGGTGCTCTTGGAAAAGGGGAAGACAGTCAGGAAACTGTATGCACTCCAGGACTTTGGGAAGATCAAGTGGGAGGTCCTTCACAAATAACAAAACAAGGGAGACCTTGAGTAACTTAGGCTTGTGGGCAGCTTTCAGGGCCACCTCTTGCCCAGATCTCTGCAATTGCTTCTAACATGCGTTCTAACCTTCACCTCTGCTGCCTAAGGTTGCCATCCCAAAGCTCCATCCCCATTGCGCCACCTTCCTGCTCCCCGTGGCCTAGAGGAAAAAAATCACCTCACCTGGGCATTCCCAGACTTCAGAATGGCAAAAAACAGACTGAGTTTTCAACACCCCTTACAGTAGAAAACTGTCTCAGAATCTCATTTGGCTACATATTTTTCAACCCCCAATAGCTCCCCTTATAACCCCCGCTGCAAAAAAAAAAAAAACCCACTGTAGTTAAGTCCCACCTTCCAATACAAACACTGGGCTTACTCCTGAGAAGACCAGGCCAAAATCAAAGGCTGGGGCAGGAAATACACTTACCAGGAGAAGAGGTGGGCTAGAATGACTCCTTGAAAGATAATCATTTATTCACTCTAAAACATGAATTGAACACCTACTATGTGCTTTGGCACCATTCCAGGCACTGGGGATGCAACAAAAAACAAATGAGAAATGGTTCTTCATGGAGATGATATTTCAATGGGGAAGACTGTGGAGATGTCACTCTCCAAAGGTGGATGCATGTTCTTCTAGAATTTTGCCTCTTCCCCTCCAAAAGGTGATGTCTAATACCCCTTCCTTTCAATCTGGGCAGACTTATGACTCACTTGTAACCAACAGAATGCAGCAGATATTATTTTTCATGACTTCTGAGGTTAGGTCATAAAAGGTGATGCAGCTTCTGCCTTGTTTGTTGGGACGCATGTCTTTGGAGCCCTGAGCCACAAAGTCCAACTACCCTGAGACTACCATGCTGTGAGGAAGCCCAGGTCACAGGGAGAGGCCATGTGTGTATGTTCTGGCTGATATCACAGCTGTGGTCCCAGACATTATGGCACAGAGACAAGCCATCCCCACTGGGTTCTGTCCAAAATCCTGACCCACAGAATTTATGAGCATCATAAAATGGTTATTGTTTAAACCACTAAGTTTGGGGTGGTTTGCTAGGCAGGAGTAATATCTAGAACACCATCAATAAACAAGCAAATAAGTGAGCCAGATAATATATTGTGATAGGTCCTGGGGAAAACATAAAAGCACATGAAAGCTTGGAGAAAGGTCTCTTTAGATGGGGATGGATCCGGAAAGGCCTTTCTGGAGAGACATTTGAAATGAGACTTGAATGAGAACGAGCTCAACCACTAAAGATCTGGGAGAAGAGACTTCCAGGCAGAGAGTACAGCAAGTACAAAGGCCCTGAGGCAGGAATTAACTTGGTACATTCTGTGAAGAGCAAGAAAGCCAGTGTGACTACAGGGACGTGGGTGAGGAGAGAGTGGGAACACTGAAGTTGGAGAGGAAGGCAGAGAGGCAAGGCATTCTGTTCTTACAGGTCACTGAGAGGAGTTTAGATTTCAGACTGAGTGAGCTGGGAAGCTGATGGAGGATATTATACAGGAGTGACTTGATCTGGTAAACTCTTAATAAGAACTCTGGCTAGGCAGGACGTGGTGGCTCAGGTCTGTAATGAGGGGGAGGGGTTCCAACTTCGGGAGGCCAAGGTGGGAGCATCTCTTGAGGTCAAGAGGCCAAGATCAGCCTGAGCAACATAGTGAGACCCCCTTCTCTACAAAAAATAGAAAAATTAGCTGGGCGTGGTGGTGTGCACCTGTAGTCCCAGCTACTCAGGAGCCTGAAGCAGGAGGATCGCTTGAGCCCAGGGGTTTGAGGTTACAGTGAGCTATGATGACGTCACTGCACTGTAGCCTGGCGGACAGCGTGAGATCCTGTCTCAAAAAAAAAAAAAATATGAGTTCTGGCTGCCTGATGGAGGACAGACAGTAAGGATAGACAGGGCAAAGAGAGGAGGCTATGGCAGTGCCTTATGCCTCAGGAAAGGGGGGTTCGAATGGTTGCCTGAGGCAGGGGGATGGCGGTGAAGATGGGACTGGTGGACAAATTCCGGACACAAAGGCAGTAGCGGAGAGTACCAAAGAGGGAGGAGGCGCCCTGCCCGGCAGGTCGGTCCCGGGCGAGGCCGAGACGTGGGTGAGGACCGGAACCCGGCATCCGTCTGGAATCCGGGAGGGAGGCTCCGAGTAAGAGCTGGCCAGGACGGCGCGTTCTGGCGTCGGGCGTCTGCAGTGCAGAGCCAGGCCCTGGCTGCGCGCCTGCGGGGCGTTTCCCAGCAACGGCCGCCGCCGCCCAAATGTTCCGAACTTGGCGGCCCCTTGGTCTCCTCGTAACCTTGGCGACGGCCGGTGGGAACACGCCCACAGGCTCCGGGGGCGGGGCCTGGGCGCGGTGCGCTCCGCCTCTGGCCGGGCCCACTCTCAGCCCCGCCCTCTGCTGGAGGAGAGGCGGAGCCTCGGCCTCGGCTGCACGTGTTCGGGCAGGTGTGCAGGGGACAGGGCCCGGCCTCACCGAGTGGCCGCTGCTCCCCTTGGTGCACGCTGCCGCCGTCTCGCTCACCACCCACCCACGTACCTCCCCACTCTGCGCCGTAGGCCGCCGCCTCCAACCAATCAGACTGGCTCCTCTGTCATTCAGGTCACCTCGGTAGAGAAGCCTTCCCAGAGCACCCAAGCTGGAGTTAACTGTCAACTCTCCCCTAGCGTTTTTTGTTTCCTTCACAGTATTTCTCCCCTTGGAATTATCTTATCTGCTTATATTGTTTTCCCTCTTTAAACCTAAGTTCCATAAGATCAGGGACAAATTCTGCCTTGTTCATCTCTATTCTCAGCACCCTGCACAGAACCTGGCAGGAAGGAGGTGCTCAGTAAGCGTTAGTCAGATGAACTGGCAGATTTGCTCAATCATTTCATTCATTTATGCACTCATTTATTTGACATTTATGGAGTGCCTTCTAGGCACTTGTGGTAAGCACTGGAGATAACATAATGAACAAGACAGGGACCACCCTCCCACCCCCCCAAGAGAAAGAAGATATATTTAAAAAATAATTATAATAATACAAAAAGCAAACGTCTTTGAGTTCCAGATGCCAGGCATAGGTTCAAACACTTCACACATAATAATCTTCACAATAGTAGGCACTATAATCCTGCCCACTTTACAGATGAGAACTTAGAGGAGAATAGTCATGCTGTAAGCTGCTGGGTCCTGTCATCATGTGAGATCCCCTGGAGGTCAGAGGAGAAGGACATGTGGTGAGGGGCTCAGCAATATGGAAGGACCAGGCCCAGGTAGGTAGATTTGGTATCTTTCTTTCTTTTTCTTTTTTTTTTTTTGAAATGGGATCTTACTGTCGCCCAGGCTAGAGTACAGTGGCATCATCATAGCTCACTACAACCTCAAGCTCTTGGGCTCAAGTGATTCTCCCACCTCAGCCTCCCAAGTAGTTAGGACTACAGGCACTTGCCACTACACCTGGCTAATTTTATTCTTTTTTGTAGTGACAGAGTCTAGCTATAATTGTCTCAAACTCCTGGGCTCAAGCGATCCTCCTGCCCTGGCCTCCCAAAGTGCTAGGATTACAGGCGTGAGCCACTGCACCCAGCAGATTTGGTGCTTGATTGTTCTCCACACACCCCAGTCTTCCACAAGGAACGAGGTCTTTCCAGATTAGAGCCATATTGTCTTAGGGTAACCCACCTACATGGGCTGCAGGAAATGAGAGGACTGTAGAGGTATAGAGGGTTGAATCCTGGGTTGGGGGTAGGGTAGGAGCCTGTGTCTTCAATTGAAGCAAAGTGTGGACAAGTTCCCACATAAACTTGCTGGGGAGAAACCTAGTTGGTAAAGCCTGGGTATCTGGGAAACCCAGAACAAAACTTTTTATACCCCTGGGTCTTTGCAAGTGCTGTTCCCTTTGCCAGCGTGTTTTTCCTTTTGATTTTCGCATACCTGGCTCTTTGTCATTCAGAACTCAAATGAGATGTTTTTCCTTTGAGAGATCTGCCTTGGCCACCCTCTCTAAGGCAATCACCTGTCATTGTCACATTATTATGTTTTGAGACTCCTACCCCAGAGTGACAGAGTGGCCTAGTCAGGTGCATCACCCTATTCCTGATCTGATTTTTCTCGTTTATTTATTCCCTGAGAGCAGAACCCCATTGACCTCACCTCTATGTCCCTGCTGCCTAGAATAGTCCTGACATACAGAAGGTGCCCAATGCTTTTTGAGAGACAGAGTGAAAAGAGCCCTTTGCCAAATCATTCTGGCTTTCCAGGCCAGGATCCATACACTCCCCTTCCCTGGAACCCCTGATTGGCACACAGTATCTGGCCTGAACAGGGAGAAGTGGCCTAGCCATCTTGGGCACCAGAATTCTCCTGGCATGAGGTCCTCTTGCCTTCCCAGGCCTGGCTGGGCTGCTTTCCCACCCTGGGGCAGGATTTCAAGAACCTCCTACCCCACAGGATAATATTCAAGAACATCCAGGAGGGGAGACCAGAGGTGGAGGGAGCAGTGGCGTGTGTGTGCGTGTGCATGTGTGTGTGCATGTGTGTGTGTGTGTGTGTGTGTGTGTGTGTGAGGGAGGGAGGAGGGTGAGGACAAGGGTTATAAGGGAGTGGGCAGGGCCTTTCTGGTTTCCAGCCAGGATGGTGGAGAAAGGATGGCTTTTCAGAGCTTCCCAGCACTGCTGTTGCTAGGAAAATGAGGCACCTGGAGGTTGTGGCTGTTTTTCCCCCCACGGTGGGAACGCATACTTTGGAACAGATGTACACGCACTCAGACACACACAGAGTAGAGCATAAAACTTGAGTTTATTTGGACGGTGTCCTTTCCATTTGGGGTGCACAGTGGGGAGCAGTGGGGTGGGGGCAGAGAGAGGTAGTGCATTTGGCTTCTATGGACATTGCTGATTGCTGACTCCTTGTGTGTGACCTTTGAGCCACCAGGATGACCAGCTGAATGGTGGAGATGGTGGTGAGGAGGCTGGCAGCCAGGCCCTTCTGGAGCCCTCAGACCAGTCCCAAATAGAGACCAGTGCTGTGTCCAGCTGGGCCTATTCCTCTCCAAGGATTAAGAAGCAGATGGCTGAGAACATTCAGACTAATAAAAGAAATAAAAGCTGAGGGTGGAGGAGGGGGGGTTCCAACTCAGGCAGTGGTGTGCAGATTCACACGTGTCATGCGTGGGCCAGGCCTGTGTGAGGAGCATGTGTGTGTCTGTGCACATTACATCCTCCACCAGCTGCTGGGAGCCCCCATCCTACCCTCATGCAGTGCTACTTGGTGGGCCTTTTCCTGACCTTTCTTCCTCCTTTTGGAAGAACTGGGCCTATTGATGGTACCAACAAAAGGGAAATGTCCCATAACAGTTCTCTAAAGATGCCCTTTCTTCTTGGTCCTTGCCTTACGTATGCAGGAGGTAGGCACCCACCTCAGTTCTGGGGCTGTAAAGGGAGGCACCCCAATAATGGGTGGGGGTTGTAGGGGGAGGTGGAGGGGCTCACTGGGTAGCTGGCTGGGAGTGGCTGCAGGGCACCTGTGCTATCTCAGCTTCTGCCAAGTCACTGCTGAACCCGGCTGGGCTATGCAGGAACTGCCTCAGCAAAGGGGAGGTGTGGAACCCGAGATGGGGGCCCGGGCCCCTGGGTGGATCTGCCTGCTCAGTGACTGTGGTGGAGGACATGAGGACTGTGTTCCCAAACTGGTCCACCTCCTCATACTGCTCGGTCACGGTTCTTGTGGCTCCATAGCACTGGGAGCCACCTGGCCCAGTCTGTAGCTCCAGAACACTCTTTTGCCACCCTGTGGGCAGGGGGCTGGCTGAAGCAGGGGCAGGCTCGGGCTGTCCACAGCACTGGGAGACCTCCTTCTTCCCAGCCTTGGTCTCCATGCCTTTCTGGTGGAGCAGGGCCTGGCTCATGTCCTGAGCCAGGTGTGTACTTTCCACTGAGACATTGGGGTTGGCCTTAGGGCTAGAAGCCTCTGGAAGCTTCCTTGTGGCTGACTGGATAGAGATGAATGTTGGGGAGGAGGGGGAATCTCTGCTGGAAGGCAAGATGCGAGGGAAGCCCAAGTCTTCTCCTGATGTCTCTGGGCTCCTGGTGGGAGGAGCAGTTGAGGCTGCTTGACCTCTGGCCTCTGTGAGATTTCTGGCCTCGGTTTGACTTGGGACCTCAGTGTGGCATCCAGCCTTGGCTTGGCTTTTGACTGTAGTTTGGTCTCTGGCCTCCTGGCCTGAGCAACTGGGCCTGGCACTACTGCTGACCGTGACACTGACCTTGTGGGCACTGTGGTCCTTTGGGGGTCCCTGGGAATGGCCTCTGGCATTAGCCTCAGGTTGCAGGCTAGACATGGAGCTGAGGGCCTTGTGCACAGCCTCTTCAATGTCCAGCAGCCTGGCCAGGGTCTGTTCCTTCAGCCGGGCAACCTCTGTGCTGACCCGAGTCAGCTCCCCAAAGGCCTGCTCCACTGAGGCCTCGGGCTTTTGGGGGGCAGCAGGAGCCTGAGGGGCAACCCCTCCCAGTTGGGGCACAGTCTCAAAGAGCCTCCGCAGGGCCCGCACATCCACACTGCTTGCAGCTTCCTTCTCCAGGGCTTGAACCTGGCTTAGGAGGCCCTGGAGCTCTTCCTGGCTTCCCTGTAGAACCTCAGGGCTCTCAGGGGGCCCCTGCTTGGAACTTTCCATGGGCTGCTCTCCTGGGGGGCTGGGCCCCCACTGTGGTGAGATGGGGTTGCCATTGAGAGCATGGGACGTGGGGGGCTCAGAGCTGTGGGCACTGCTGTCTGCAGCCTGACTGTTGATGGGCCTGAGGGCCACGGTGCTGAGGCCATGTTGGGGGCTGAGCTGGCTCTGTCCACTGGGGCATCCAGTCCGAGGCATGTGGCCCAGGTCTATAGTGGTGGGAACCTTGGCTGGCTGCGGAATGGCTGCATCCGTCTCACCTCGTTTATGTTCTCCTTGCCCCCTCTCCGAGGAAAAGCTGGGAGATAGAGCCGAGGGCTTGGGCAGCCTCTGAGGAGGGTGGATCTGGGTTAGGTGTGCAGGTTTGGGGGGCAGCTGGGGCTTCTTTCTTGGGGGCATGGTGGACTCCAGTTTTGCAGTCTTTGTCTGTGACCCCCCCGGGGTTCTCTGGCCAGCAGGACTGCTGTGGGAGTGAAGGGAGTTCTGCAGGGGCTCGGAGGCCTGCTGGATGAAGTCCTCATCGTGGCGGGCTCGGGCTGGGAAGTCAGGTCCTGTCACAGCAGCTGGGAGAGCAGGAGGGGGAGGAACAGAGGCATTATGGGAGTGCAGGCTGGCACCTGCAGGATGGGGCCCAGAGGCCAAAGTGTGGCGGGATAGATGGGCAGTCTTCAGAGTGGTCTCTGCAGCTTGGAGGCCCCCTGGACAGACTTCTGCCATCACCTTCCCTGGAGGCCCCCCGGCCCTCTGTGTATGGCCCCCAGGCTCCCCCCGCCCTGGCCCAATACTCTGACCTGGGCCTCCCTGGAGTGGGCTGGGAGCCTGGGCCGAGAGGGCGGTCTCCCTGCCCCTGGGCTGGGGTTTTTTTTCAGAAGGCTGGATACCCCCAGATGAATCAAAGGTCCTCACAGGGTGAGCAGTGTAGATGCCGTCCTGAATTGTTACCCACCCCCCAGGCAGCCCTCTGGGTAGTGCTTTTTCTTCCCCACTGACCTTTCTGGGGGCTGCTGGGATCTTGGGGTCACCTCCACCCACAGGCCTGGTGTTGCTCTGGGTAGCCCCAGTGGTCTTGGCCGGAACTCGGAGAAGACCATCCTGGATGGGCGTGGAAGTGGCTGCAGGGGCGGGGCTCTGCTTGTGCTTGTTCAGAACTTGCTGGTGCAGGTTTTGGGCCTCGGCTGTTGTCATCCGCAGACTCTGCATGGCGTCCAGGAGATCTGGGGCCCCAGGCACCAGAGGGGTAGCTGTGGCTCCTTTTGACTTTCCCAAGGCTGCCATCCCTTTCTGCCCAGTGTGGCTGTCTTCCTGCTTTTCTGCGTCCTGCAATTGGGCTGGGGCTGAAGCTTTCCCAGCCACAGAGGCTGCCTTTCCAATGGCCTGAGGAGGGAGGGAGGTGGCCCCTGGGCCTCTCAGATGCCCCATCCCCATGCTGGGGTCCAGTGGTGGAACATGGATGATGCTCTCAGTTGGGGGCAGCCTCTGGGCCCCCTCGCTGGCTGGCACTGGACTTGGGTCAGCTGGTGGCTCCCATCGCAGACTTTGCAGGCCACTCAGATCTCCCTTGTCTATGCAGCTGGCCAGCAGCTGCACACTGCTCCTCTCGGGAGCCCTGCTAGTTAGCCGGGGCTGTAAGGAGTAGGCGGTCAGTGCAACCAGGCCCTGCTCTGTCTCCTGCATCACCAGCCCTGTCCTTGCCACAGAGGCCCTGAGGCCACAAGCCAGCAGCTGCTGGAGCTCAGGATCCATGTCTTCAATACCCCCACTGCTACCCGGCGCTGGCAGCCTCAGCTGCTTGAGCTGGAGCTGGCCGGTTGGGTCCTCCTGCACCAGCAGCCCCTGCTGGTCCACGTCTGGCCGGTGCAGCACTTGGCGGACAATCCTGGGAAGTTCTCCAGACACCAGCTCCTCCTTCCGTACGTAGGGGCACCCTTGCCCTGCATCTGGGAGCACGTACTTGGCCAGGCAGAGCTCTCCCGGCCCTCGGGCCTCCATGAGGATGCCTCCGTGGTGCAGGATGCCAGGTGTGGTGTGCAGAGTCCGCAGCGTCTCCTCAGCCGCCGTCTCCTGCCTCTGTGTCGCCCTGTTGCCTGAGGAGCTCACAGGCTGCTCTTCCTGGAGGTTACCACCTCGGATGCTCTCAGCTGCCAGGGAGCCCATGGGGCAGTTCTCAAAGAGCCAGGTGAACTTGTGCACAGAACCTGCAGGGATGGGCCCAGGGCTTACTCGGGACCCCTGCTCTTCTCTCTTGCCTGCTTCCAGGGCCTGGAAAACCTCTTTCTGACGAGACACCTGCCCTGAAGGGATCTCCACCCGGCTGCAGTACCGCACAGGCCCTCTTCCGCAGGGCTGGCCTGAGGCCTGAAGAGGCTCGATCTCAAAGACGTGTCTGTCTGTCTGTCTTTCCCCAGCCTGGACCTGGCTAACCTGCAGGTGCTGCTCCCTGGAGCCCTCTGGTCTGTCCAGGGGTTGAGGCTTGAACATCCAGGTGCAGGACTGTGCCTCGGCCGTGGTTGTGGAATCTGTGAACCCTGACGCCTGCTTTTCAGCCAACTCACTCATTGGGCATGTCTCGAACAACCACCGGATAGTCTGCACATCACCCTTTGGGGGCGCCTCAGGCTGGGGGCCTCCCTGACTCTTCCTCTCTTCTTCCTGTCGTTCCTGTTGCTCCCGCTGGTGGATCACCTCCAGGGGCTGAGTCTCAAAGAGCCACCGAGCAGTGCCAACATCCCCTGCCACCACTTCCTGCCGGGTGATGCCCCGCACCACATCTATGGTACTGGGGCTTCGGCCCAGTCGGTCTAGGGGTTGTGTCTCAAACATCCACCTGTAACCCTTCACATCACCTCCGACTACCTGCTCTCTGCTAACAGAGGTCAGAGCATGGAGGTGGCCCTTGCTGTCCTGCATAGCATACACTGGAGACCCTATGTTCTGGGAATGCCCAGCACGATCAGTTCCTTCTCCTCTGTTCACACTCCCATGGGCCGAGGGCTCACCCTGCCCGATGCTGTCCAAGGGAAGGGTCTCAAAAAGATTCTTGAAAGTCTTCACGTCTCCCTTCAGTCCATCCCTCTGGGGGGCGCTCTGAGAGAGGGGCAGTGCTGAGGAGCTGCCACTAGATAGACACTCGCGTGTGAGCTCCTCACCCTCCTGGGGATCCACGCGCTGCAGGTGACCCACTTGGACCTTGTCTCTGAGAGCATCCAAGGGCTTTGTCTCAAATAGCCACAGGGTAGAGCGGACATCACCAGGGACCACTTCCTCCTTGGGTGGGACCTCTGTTCCAACCTCCTCTTCCCCTTTTAGAGTGTCCAGTGCTCTGGTCTCAAACAGATGCCGCTGCTGCTGGACATCTGGACCAGGTGGGATAAGGTCTGGGGATGGCTGGAAGTCCTTCTCATCCACCACGATCTCCCTGATGGCATCCAGGGGCTGTGTCTCAAAGATCCAGCGAGTTGCGCTGACATCGGGCCGGTCCCCCTCCTCCAGGGAGATCCCCCGGATCACCCGAACCTGGCTTGGGTCCTGATTGATGGCATCCAGAGGTCGGGTCTCAAAGAGCCAGCGGCCAGATCTTACTGCGTTGCTTTGGATCTCCTCCCGGCAGGCAGCCTTGACCTCATGGATGGCACCCTGTGCATCCTGGATGGCACACAGTGGCTCTGTTTGGAACAGCTTCACTGTCTTCTTCACATCACCTTTCAGCTCCTGGATCTCTGAGCGCAGCTCCAAGGGGCTCTGCTCCTGGATGGAGGGGCGGGAGCCCAGGCGGTCCAGTGGCCGCGTCTCAAAGAGCATCCTGGTGCCCTGCACATCCCCGCTGGCAGCTGGCTCCCTCACAGTAGCCTCCAGTGCCTTGGCCTGCCCTGTCAACTCATCCAGTGGCTTTGTCTCAAACAGCCAGCGGGCTGCCCGAACATCCCCTCCGCATGGCTGGGGCCCGGCTGGCTCCCGGTCTACGCTGTTGGCAAAGGAGCCTTCCTCAAACTTGCGGGAGGTGCCCTGGACGTCACCACCTGGCACTGGCTCCTTGGCAGCTGGCTTCTCATGATCTCCAATGGCGTCCAGTCGCCAGTTCTCAAAGATCCAGCGCATACACTGGACATCACCCTCGGTGGGCTCCTCAGATCCCAGGACCTCAGCCAGATCCTCAGCCACGGCCTCAGCTAGATTCTTGCGGAGCTCAGGGTGGATGTGCCTGTAGAGGCGGCGGAGCTCACTGGCTTGCCGCTGCTGGTGGAACTTGGAGAAGGACTCCTTGGGTGGCGGCAATGGCAGATCTTCCAGGGCTGGGGGTGGAGGGAGGGGCAGGTCCTCTGCAGTCGCCATCCTGATGGTTGGTGTGGGAGCCACCTGTGTCTGGGCGTCAGCCAGCCTTCTGAGGAGAAGGGGAAGAGATGAGTATGGAGTTGGGGGCCAAGGTGGGGTGGGGACTGGCTGCTAGGAGAGATGGCAGGGAACAGGACCTAAGGGCAGGATAGCTCTGGATAGCTGTGCTCAGAGACTCCCCCCCAAACACCACCAGGTAGGTCTGCCCAGGGCCTCACTTAACCACCTGCATGGGTGGCAATGAGTCTTGAACTTAGGACATGTGGAGCCATCCATCGCAGTGGGTCCCTGGCTCCCCAGCATCACCTGGGTGGCTAGGGAGCAAGCTGCACACTGCTGGTCATGAGGCTCTTTCCTCCAGCTCCACAAGGGATTGCCCAAACCTCAGTGGGTAAACTGGACTTGTCCCATCCTCACCTTCCTTCCTTTGTTAAAATCAGTTTTTCCCTGGTAGACTCCCAGGGGAGGCGACCTGGGGCAATCATGACTTACAGAGTCCCAGCCAGGGAGAGATGGAGCCCTAAGCTGGTGACTGTGATCTCCCTCGAGGTGAGATCCCTTTGCAGGACAGCAGAGGGCATGCTTGCCACTTTGACCCAGAGCCCTGCCCTGACTTCACCTCCTGGCTCTCAAAGCACTGCAGCCTTTCCCAGGCCTGGGGGCTCTGCAGGGGCCAGCAGCCCCCGCCAAACAGAAGCAGTCGGGACTCAGGAAAGGAGACTGCTCACCTGCTATCTCGTGGTTAGGCAGAGCCAAATTCTGAATCCCAGGCCAGGGTTTTTTCTGTGCTATACTCCAAGACTCAGAAGGTCTGAGCTGGGGGGATTTTAAAGGTCTTTCGGCCCAATGCTTTATAATTAAAGATGAGGAAACTGAGGCCCAGAGTTGGATCTTGGTGAATGAGTGGCAGGCAGTGCTAGCTTGGGGGTCCCTAGATCCCATTTAGGGCCTGGCCCCCAAGAAATAAGAGGATTGGGGTGGAAAGCTTTCTTATTGACCTTGGTGCCGCTCTATTCCCCAGCAGGTACCCCTTGGAGGATGTGAGGGTGACACAGAGGGGAGGGCAGTGGGACCAGGGTCCTTTCTGCAGAGATAGCCTTCCCCTTGTTCATGGAGACCTGTCTCCAATCCTGCATGAGCGAGCACAGCTCTGGCTGCGGGCCTCGGGCTGAGACCTACCATGAAGGCCTCATAGCCACCCACACCCAGCCCCTCAAGCCCATCTCTGGTTTCTGTCCAATGTATGTCTTATCTGTCTTGTGACAGGTAGCTAACAGTCCCCGAAGGCCAGTAGAGAAAGAATGAGAAACATGTCCCCCCTCCCGCTGCCCCGACCCAGTGCTCTGAGCTATACTCAGTGCTAAAAATAGCCAAGATCCTGGCCTCACGACAGCAGCTTTGTGCTTCCAGGGAGGCTCAAGCTGGCAAGTGGGGACCCTCAGTGCCCTTAGCCCACCTTCTCTCCTTTGCTACCCTGGGCTCCCTGATCCTGCCTCCTGCACTGGTGTCGGGCCCCTGGCCTGCAGGCCAACTGGGTACTAGAGCCTGGACGCCTCTCCTGGCCGAGGGGCCCGTGGGTGGGTGGATGTAGGGACATTGGCCACAGTTGGGGTCAGGACTTCCTCTTTATGGCCACCTCAGAAGGAAGAGAGGGGACTGAGACTTGCTTACCCCACCCTCACGCTGGCATGTCCACCAAAGACATCAGAGCCCCTGAGGAGTGTGAGCTCTGAAACCTGCAGCCAGAGTCTCATCAAATGCTCTGGGTGATTTCCTTTCGTCTTTGAGCTCTAATGAGGATCCCCTGCCAAAGGCAAACCATGTCTGTCCCCACCTCCATTCCATCCTGTCACCACCAGGGTGGCCTGAGCAGATGGCATGGGCAGGCCACCAACTTCAGCCCACCCCCACCTTCAGGAATTTCCAGAATCCCTGCAAGGGTCACAGACTCTTATTATCACAGAATCCAGGCATATCAGATCTAAAGACCCTCAGAGGTCACTGATTCTAATCCCTTTATTGTTCAGATGGGGAAACTGAGGCCCAAAGAGGGGAAAGGAACTGCCTAAGGAGGCTCAGTAAGGCTGCAGCAAAGCCTGAAGCACGTTTCCTGACTCCTGGCCTTCCCATGGCCATCCTTGCCTGGCCTGAGACTCCTGGGGAAAGGCAGGGTAGGGACAGAATTCAGGACTGGGACCAGACTTGGGGTGAGGTGAGCCCCAAGAACCGTCCCAGAGCTTGGCCTCCTAGAGCTGGGCCAGCCTCTCAGGATGACCCCACTGCTGGCCTCAGGTCACCTCCTCCTTGGCCTAGCTGGCTTGATAGGTCTTTGTATCTGGGCAAACTCAGATCTGGTCTCCCTGCCCTGATCCCTCCATATCTGCCCTGGGGCTTTCCCACTGGGCAAGACGAGGGACTGGGGCAGAGCCTGCATCCCACCCCAAATTCTAGGCCATGACGTGGGTGCTGGGCTCAGGCCAGCCCTGGGAGGTATCCCTGGGGCCAGATATGCCAAGACTGTTGCCCACGACAGCTGGGCCTACTAGCAGCACACACGTGGGCTTGCTTACGGTCCGCTGCCCCCCATGCCCTCCCACCTCTCTTCTGTCCCTCTGTCTTCCAGACACCCGGGAGGAAGCCCTGAAGCCTGAGGAGCTCCATACCTGTATTTTAAAAATCACAGCTCCAGACCACCTCCTGAATGCCTTTCTGGATTACGCCAGGCTGGCAAGAACCTGTCCCTACCGCCGGCCTCAGGCCTGTGGCAGCCACTTAGAGGCTCCCATGGGGCTCACACTAACTCTCTTTGCCTTTGTCGTGAATTCTTGTATGAGAGACTCTTCCACTCAGCTACACCCATGCATGCCCCTCAGTCTCCTTCCGCCACCCAGAGCCACCCCTGTCACGCCCATTCCAGAGCACACTGACGGGATCCCAGCCTTGAGAGCCGGCCCTGCCGTGGAAGGACAGAGGGGCAGGTTACTCACCGAGGGTCCCTCCTGGCTGATGGGGCACTTGGGGTCTATAGTGGGTGTAGCTTAAGAGTTTGTCGTCCCTCTCAAGTCCCTTGTCTGGGGTTGGCTCTGTTCCGCTTGCTCCAGCAGACACCTTCTTGCTGCTCTGGCTCCCGGTCTCTGTCCCCTGCCAGCCCCAGCAGCTGCCTTTATCTCGCTGGTGAGGGGGTGGGCCGTGGTGGGGGCGGGCGGCAGAGGCTATGTTCAGAGTATTAAGTGGTTCGGTTATTTTTAGGGCTTGTGGAAGTCACTCTTCCATCCTGGGGAATCAGTTACATGTTCTTTGGGCTGGGGAGGGGAAAATGGGGGAGGAAGCTTCATTCATCCAAAGTCAATCTGAGGATTGGGGTCAGTGACTCAGCCGTGGGGTGGGGTGGGGGTGTCCCAGACTATTTTGAAGGAGTGAATAAGAAGGGGCATCTGACACCTGGACAGCCCTGCCCGCTAATCCTGTGGCCCCCATCTCTCTTCTGCAGACTGGCCTCTGAGTCTTCCTGACGTGGACCCACCAGGCCTGGAGACCAGAGGCCCCCTGAGGACAGGGCAAGCCCTTCCTCTTCTGTTCCAGCCTGGGCTCCTCTGAGAGTGAGCACCAGCTCTTCTTCTCTCCCTTCCCTTCTGCACTAGAGATTTCCCTCTTTCTCATCCATTCCTCCTCCGGCCCCCCGGCACCGGTCAGCACAGCCCCGAATGGAGCCGGATTTGGGGAAAAGACATCGGAATGACCAGGCCCCAGCTCTTCACTAGGTCCCCAATTTATCGCATTCCATGGAATGGTTCTGTGGTTTTCATAGCGGATTATCTGGGTCCTTGTTTGCTTTTGGACTCTTCCCTGTGACTCAGGGCCCAGACTTTCTGGGAATGGAGAGGAGGGGAAGGGCGGCACGCAGGGAGCTGACTGCGGGGTTATTTCTGACCCTGGAGTCATCGGCTTCACAGTCACAGACGGAGTTGGGGGGGGTGTCACACCTGCTTCCTCCGTTGCTGCCCAGAGCCCTAGCATTCAAAGCAGTGTGGCGAGGGACTTCAGGGGACCATCTACACCAAACCCCACAGAGGTATTTTGTCCCAGGTGGGAGGCCTGGCCTGCACTCCATGTCTGTGGGTTTGCAGATGTATTCTGTTACCTGGCCCACAGGCTCCTCCTTCTGATGGCCCCAATGCCCTCGGTGCCAAGGGGCGATGCCAGACATTGCTCATATTTTCCATGGAGTCATCGTCAGTCCTGCAGTGTCAGCTGGCATGGTGACGACATCTGGGAACCCCTTCTCCCTGGCCTCCCTCCCTCTTTTCTCTTCTTCTGGCCCTCCCTAGGAAGGGCAGGGAGACTAATGTACCAGCCTTTTAGGCCAGGGAAGGAGCAGCTTTAGGTCTCTCAGGGTCTCCCAGGCGGAGTTTTCTCCCTGTGGATACTGAAAGTGCCTACTTTCTAGGGTGGTTTTGAGAATTGAATGAATTAATGTATGAAAAGGGTTCATGAGGGTGCTCAGAACATAGCATATACTAGAGAAGTGCCTGCTATTATACTGTATATACAAGAAAAGAAAAGCACCTAGGTGGAACTCACTTTTGTATTCACCTCAAATGTGACAACATTTGAGGGAGAAATTACTCAGGTCTCAATATTAAGAAAGATGCTCTTCCTGAGCATCTGGTTAGTTTTTATCTAATATAGCTATGCTGTCCAATACAGTTGCCACTAGCCAAATGGGTTTATTTAAATTTACATACATTAAAATGAAATAAAATGAAAAATTCACTTCCTTTGCTAGTCACATTTTAAATGCCCTGTAGAGACATGTGACTAACAACTATTATATTGGATAGCACAGAACATTTTCATCATTGCAGAAAGTTCTACTGGATGATGTGATAACGGACACTAAAAATTTCATAACGTGTTGTTTCCCTCTTTTCCTTGGATACTAGGAAGCTCAGAGCTAAATTTTTAGTCTTCTTCTAGCAAGTAGACATTATGGCCTGAGTCCTGAGTAATGAGGGTGATAAATTGTTTCAGTTGTCTGTCTCTGAGGAATTTCCCAAGACAAAGGACTTTCAGTTTTAAAACTGGGAAAGTTCTAATAAAAACAGAAGAATTTGGTCACTTTGTGTGTAATGATCTAACAGTTATCACATCATCATGGTATCAATTGTGAGGCTGTTAAGGCAGTAAACTGAGCATTATTTATCAAAGTTTCTTTGGTAGTGTTAAAAAGGTAAACTAAGGCACAATCAAATTTTTAAAGAATGTATTTGTTCAAACAACGATTCATGAATCAGGCAGCTCCAAACCAGAAGTGGTTTGGGAGCTCTACTGAGGGAACACAAGGAGGAAGTTTTTAAGGATGGACACAGAAGTTAGGTAAAGAAAATATTGGATTGGTTACAGTTATCCAGTTGCCTTATTTGTTCTATCCCATTGGAAAGCCTCTAGTTATATAATTATTTTTGTTGTCTGCTTCTGATTAGTTGAGTTTAAGTTCTGTTTTTCTTTAATATAGACATTTACAAGAAATACCTTATGTTAAGTTTCATTCATGTCGTAAATCAAGGAAGGTTAAGGTCACTTATGAGGCCTAACTGGCTTTGTCTGCTCAGAGATTCCTCAGGCCTGGCCTCTGTTTTAATTCACTTTAATAGTGGAGATACTGAGTATCTATTTTTTTTTTTAAAGCTCCCTCAAATCATTCCGGGAATGAGGCCGGGAATAAGTAAATACACTGAGGTTGAACGGCTGATCTATGTCAGAAGGCAGAGAGGCATGTGGGGAAGGGGTGTAGGGGAAGGGTGGCTGTTTTCTAGATGTTACAGCCCTCCTCTGGAGGCCACTGCTTCCCAGTATCCAGGGCATCTTCCCTGTCAGTCCGTCCCTCCAAGTAGGACTCTATCAAAGTTGAGATTGGTCAGAAATTCATGCACAATCTCCGTCCTCTCAAAGAAGGAGCTCAGAATGAGCTGGCAGCTGATTCACCTTAAGTTTCAGAAAAGACAGGATTCAGGAATGACTAGGAGCCAGACTGCCTGAGTTTGAATCCTACCTGTGACACTAGCTGTGTGACCTTGCCAAGTTTCGTAACCCCTCTGTTCCTCATGTATAAAATGGTGATAATAATTGCATGTAACTCAAAGAGTTACTGTGAGGAATATATATGTGTCTGTGTGTGTGCGTGCGTGTGTGTGTGTGTGTATACATATATTTTTACTATGGCATTTAGAACAGTGCCAGACATGCAGGAAGCTTAGTAAATGAGTAAACTCAGTAAGGTTTTCCCTGGACCCCGACTCCCCAGCCCTTCCAGGTACCAGATCTCATTGTGTCCTCTTGGTCCAAAGGCAAATGCCCTTCAAGGCACTGGCTGGCAGCCCCAGCTTCCCTCTGACTGGGAAGTAGACGCTGGTGCCAGGGGGACAGCTTGGGCAGGCCAGGCTGGGGCTGTTCCAGGCCTGCAGGGGACAGGTCTGCTCAGCCTATTGATACCAGAGAGGAATCATCTGAAGCCAGAGAAGGGATTTTCTGCTCTGCGATCAGCTCAAAGGTGGGCAGATTTGAGGGAAGAGCCTCCGCCTGCCTGCCATGGGAATACCGCGGCTACTGTGTAAGAAGCCACAGAGCGTGGTTTTTGAGAAAGTGGGATCTGGTGTCAGATGACCTGGGATCAAATTGCCAGTCTGTCTCTGACTGTTTATGTGACCTCTGAGAGTCTTTCAGCTCTCGGTACCTTGATGTCTGAGTCTGGGATCCTCCAAGAGCAAAATCTGAGACAAGCGTTTGAGTACAAGTGATTTAACTGGGAGAGGATCCCAGGAACGCAGTGAGGGAGTGAAGTGAGTAAGGGAAGAGAGGAAAGCATTACCCCTGTAACAACTGGGGCTTAATCTCCTAATTTCCTTTCCAGGTAGATCATCGTCAGTGTATAGAAATGCAACTGATTTTTGTATGTTGATTTTGTATCCTGCAACATGACCAAAATTTTTAATTAACTCTAACAGCTTTTTTTTTAATGCCGTCTTTAGGGTTTTCTCTGTAGAAGAATTTGCAAGAGGCTGGGCGCGGTGGCTCACGCCTATAATCCTAGCACTCTGGGAGGCCGAGGCGGGGCGGATTGTTTGAGCTCAGGAGTTCAAGACCAGCCTGAGCAAGAGCGAGACCCCTGTCTCTACTAAAAAAAAAAATAGAAAGAAATTATCTGGACAACTGAAAATATATAGAAAAAATTAGCCGAGCATGGTGGCGCATGCCTGTAGTCCCAGCTATTTGGGAGGCTGAGGCAGTAGGATTGCTTGAGCCCAGGAGTTTGAGGTTGCTGTGAGCTAGGCTAACGCCATGGCACTCACTCTAGCCAGGGCAACAGAGTGAGACTCTGTCTCAAAAAAAAAAAAAAAGAATTTGCAAACGGGGACAATTTTCCTTTTCCGATTCAGGTGCCTTTTATTTCTTTTTCTTGCCTAATTGCTCTGGCTAGGACTTCCAGTACTATGTCTGTTCAGCCTAGAAGTGGCAAGAGTGGGCATCCTTGCCTTGTTACTGATATTAGAGGAAAAGTTTTCAGTTTTTCACCACTGAGTATGATGTTAACTGTGGGCTTTTCATATATGGCTATTATTCTGTTGATGTACTTTCCTTCTATTTCTAGCTTATTGAGAATTTTTATCATGAAAGGGTGTTAAATTTCATCAAATGCCTTTTTTAATCTATTGAGATGGTCATGTGATTTTGTCCTTTATTATGTTAATGTGTTGTATGACATTAATTAATTTTTGTATGCTGAACCATCCTTGCATCCCAGGGATGAATCCCACTTAGTCATAAAACTGGGCTTAATCTCACTGGAGACCCTCTGAGAGATGGGGTGGCACATGCCTCACCTGGTCTGAGGAAGGTAGGTGCTATGGTTTGACTAGCTGTCCTCTCCAAAACTCATGTTGAAAGTTAATCCCCAATATGGCAGTATTGAGGGGCGGTTGGGTCATGAGAGCTCTGCCCTCACGAAGAGATTAATTCATTTATAGAGTAATAGATTAATGGGTCAGTGGGTTAATGAGTTGTCGTGGGAGTGGGACTCGTGGCTTTATAAGAAGAGGAAGAGAGACCTGAGCTTGCACGCTAAGTCTCTTTGCCCTGT